CGCCTCCTTCTGCCTGTTACATACTTTTAACAAAACCATTATACCCTGATTTCCCATTTTTAATGGGTTCCGGGTATAAAAACCTGACGGTGAACTATTATGTGAATACATTTTACATACTTCGACCTGTTACATGTATACCGTGGAAAATATATCATATTAAAGTTTCACATTTTTCTTAAGTAAAATATATATTTTATTCTTACTTTTATAGGCTTAATGAAAATTTTGTTGCAATTGGCACATAATTACATTATATAAGTAAGCACTGTCCTTGTACCCTTGATATATTTTAAAGAAACATGCTATAAGTTCGATATAATCATTGCGAAAGCAATGCTTCTCTCAGAAAATTTTGTTACTGATATGGTGCTTTAGGATGTTTAATTGAAGCATATTCCACACATGCTCTATTGAGTTAATGTCGGGATTCCGATAAATGAGGTATGTTATAGGCGACATAGAGACAGTTATTCATACCTTTACATTTCGGGTTCTTATATTGGTCGAAGTACAAATTTCATCCTATACCAAGACTCTCTGTGCTACTTTTAAAATTTCTTTTGAGGATGTCAGTATATTGGTCCATCCCACCATTAGCAAACAGCCATGCAACCCAAAACAATAAGTCCACTGCCGCCGTTCTTAAGTTGTTTTTTTATACCCTGAACCCATTGAAAATGGGAAATCAGGGTATAATGGTTTTGTTGAAATGTATGTAACAGGCAGAAGGAGGCGTGGCAGACCCCACAAAGTATATATATTCTTGATCAGGGCGACGAGCTGAGTCGATTTGGCCCTGTCCGTCTGTCATTCCGTCCGTCCGTATGTATGAACGCGTCGATCTCAGAAGATATAAGAGCTAGAGACTTGAAATTTTTTCCTAGGTCCGTGTATATCATGCGCATATAAAGTTTTTCTCTAAATATCGATAAATACTCTCGATATTTTTATCGATTAAAAACCTTATCGAAAGCTAGTTATTTAATTATATCTCCTACACCTTTAGAGCTAGAGCTTCCAAATTTTGAATGTAGACTTATATATATTTTATATAATTTCGATTTTTGTTTTTGGCGAAAAGAAGTGCACAGTGATTAGAATGTCAGATTGGAGGGTTCAGGGTATCTCCTAGTCGAGCAGTCTCGACTAGAGTCTTCTTACTTGTTAGATACTAAGGTGCATGAAAAATGATGTGGACTTTTGTAATTTTTAATTATAATATAAAATTAAAAAAAATGGAAATAAAATATTATTTAAATGATATTGAGTAGATAATAGAGGGCTGCATGAGTGCCAAAAGAAAACGAATCCGAATGAATAATGCTCATATTGAGATGTGTGGCCAGTGTTGTCATTTTAGCCTATTTATGGCTGGAGCTAGCCTATTTGGAAATGATATAGCCTCGAAAATTGTCAAAATGCCTATAGCCCTAAAACTAGCCTTTTCACATTTTAGATTTCTTATTTCTGCTATTTTATATAATCTTGTTACCTGTAGAAGCAAATCAAACCAAACTAAACTTTTTTTGGCCTTTTTGTTTAATATGGTATTTACCATTATATACCATGGTAAATACCATAAATTAATTGCAAAATATAATGATTCTTTTTAATATATGGCATATTTTTGTTGACAAGTTTTGGTCATCCTTTGATTCGTCGATCGCGCTCAACATTTTTAATGACCGAAAATGTTTTCAGGACGTCTGGCCCAAAGGGGACGAGTTCAAGGAGTGGCTGGTAAAACTACCTGCCGATCAAAATACAGATGATACTGTTCAATTTTGATCTGAGGTATTTGCTAAGGATGCTGGCAAGAACAATTCGTTGAATACAATTGCTACATTTGCAATAGAAATTTTGTCACTTCCGTGGTCGAATGCGGTGATTGAACGATTTCTCAGCCAAATGAATGTCAGAGACCAAACTTAGAAACAAAATGCAATTTTGCATATAAGGTTTGTTTAAAAAAATATATATATAAGTGTTTGATGTATATAAACAATATTCCTTACATTTATACAGATATGGATTGCGCCGTCATGGCAAATATTGTTTTAACTACAAATTGCCTGAAAAATATTTGAATCTTATAAGTTCCAGTGACAAAACACCTTCAGACTGTGAATTAAATAAAATAATTTCACAAATATATACAGAAGGAAGCGTGGCAGACCCCATAAAGTATATATATTCTTGATCAGGGCGACAAGCTGAGTTGATTTAGTGTTGTCCGTCCGCCCGTGTGTCCATCTGTCCGACCGTCAGTATTTTTGAACACGTCGATTTCAGAAGATACAAGAGCTAGAGACCTCAACTTTTTTTTTGTAAAATGTCCGTGTATACCACGGGGATATCGAGTTTTGCTTTAAAAATCGACAACTACTCTCGATATTTTTTATGGATAAAAAACCTTATCGAGAATCAGTTATAAAATTATATCTCCTACAACTTAAGAGCTAAAGTCTCCAAACTTTTAATGGATATTTACATGCAACTTATACAATTTCGGTTTTTGTTAAAATTTACCCCCCACCCCTATATTCACCCATGCATGCATGCATAATCATAATCTGAAAGTTTCATGCAGATCCTATGCCCACAAGAAAAGTTAATAAGCAATTAAGTTCTCATAGTAAGCACACACTACAGCCCATGCGTGTTTAGGCGTGGGTGCTTGTGTGCGTGTACGTGTGTGTGTGTGCGTGTGTCTTGTGTAAGTAGAGAGACGCGAAAAATGATTGAAGTAGCTGTTACTCCAAGGGTTCAGGGTTTTTTTTTTTTTTTTTTTTAGAATTTTTAGTTTATTCTAGTTTAGTATATTTTTGAGCAATTTGGCCTATTTTGTCGATCAAAAATCGAAAATTGTATGAGTGTGTAAGTGCGCTTGTATATGACTTAGAGGGACAATATTGTATTGAAAGAGAAAGAGTCGGATATATGTATATGAGTTCGGAGGTATATGAGTTACTTCGCCGCGTGTATGAGTTGCTTCGCTACCTACAAAGCAAAAAAATTAAGAAAATCACGAAGGGCAACGTAATTGTGTGTGTGCAGACCTGACGGCCGACCAACGGCAAATTTATCAATACAATTTCGTAGCGAAAAAATATTCTTTATGCGTACGAACGCTTTCATACCCTTCCCATAAATAAAGAGCATACGAAAGTCAATGTAATTTTGTTATACAATATATATATATATATGTTTAATTAATATTGAAATTTAGAATCATTATTTTATTTAAGTTGTCAGGATTAGTCATAGATAATGTCATGAAAATGCTAACATTTTGCATGAGCATGGCAGACCCCTTTCAAGAACTCGATACATTCTCTAAAGGGAAAGGGCATAAAAAGAGACAGAGTAAGAAAAAACTGGCGCACAGTTCGGCTTCATATTAAGATGCGTGCTTTACGCTTGAACGCTCGAAGCGCACTAATCTTGGCGTGAGATTTGTTCACTGCTAGAGGCAGTGTTGGCATGAAGATATACATATGCATGCAAAAACTCGAGTGCCTCGACACCGAAATGCTTTGGTTAACTATTGTATTGCTCTTTACGTCTTATTTATTCTCATTCTTTTTACTTAAGCAGTGAGATATAAGATATTGAGTCCATGCGATCTCCCACACTGTCAGCACATTCTATGCCCACTCACTCACTCAGTCTCAATTTGAGTGCACTCTATTTTGCTAGGTTATTTATTATGTTATCAACCTACATGAAAGCCTATTTGTATTATATAAAAATTCGACGAAATTATAGTATGTTTCGAGGAAATGTATCAGGGGTACTATTACATATTATTATATTTATATATATATATATATATATATATATATATATATATATATATATATATATATATATATATATTTATTTATTTATTTATTTATTTATTTATTTATTTATTTATTTATTTATTTATTTATTTATTTATTTATTTATTTATTTATTTATTTATTTATTTATTTATTTATTTATTTATTTATTAATTTATTAATTTATATATATATATTTGAGCTATTTATAAAAAATACAATTAAGTGAACAGAAAATTTAAATAAAAGTCAAAATGGTGAACTAAACCATTAACTAATCATTTATTGTAATAAAATAAGCATAGTGTCAATTATATTGATTTGATAAAATTAATTAGAGATAATAAAATTTCATGGGTACAAAAAACAACAGTTTTTTCGACTTTGCCGAAACTAAAATGACCTTGCAGCGATTTATAGCATTGTATAGCATTTGCATTGATTGCTCGAATTTATAATATATACTGCTACGGTACTGATTACTTTACCAAATCAACTGTCTGTCAACTGTCAGAATTATAGTGTTTTCTCGGCACATATATACGTATTTAGATATACATATATTATTATACGTGTAGATGAGAATCCATTTTGATTCAAACTTGTTCTTAATTAGTTCAGTTCCTGCAAGGCTTTTGCTACATTTTGTTAGAGCTCTTGTTATTATAGTTAATAATCAATATACATATCGGATTGAAAGAAAATAAAGCAAATATTCTATTTAGACATCAGTTTATCTTCTGCAATACGCAACAAACGTTCTAACAAACGAAAAAGTTATTTACGTTTGAAATCTTAGAATTAATTTAATAGTGCGAAGATTTGAAAAGATCTCTAATCGCTGAAGTCTTCATATTTCTATTTCAGCCTAATTTCAGCTTGACAAAAAAATATTTGTATAGTAATAATAATAATAAAAAAATGTTAGTGTTGATGTTTATAATTATAGTGATAATAATGATAATGATAATATTGCGTAATTTTAACACAAATAAAAAGGTGACTTTCTATTAAGGCAAATCAAGTTTACAGCGCCCAGTTAACAGTGCTGTTGAAATTTAGCCCAAGCGCTGTCATAAAGTTAACATGATATAAAGCTGCAATAGGATAACTTTGTATGTGTGCGTCTAAAATTAAATTCTACATTTATCTAAGTTTATAGTGCTACAAAAGTTGCCGCCGTTTTGGCTTTTACCTCAGAAGCGTTCAATATGCTTTCCATTTTTATTAAATTTTTTTTTTTTCTTTTAGTTTTGCATTTCACATTTTAGACCTCATTTTACATTCAAAATTTGCACTAAACTAAGTTTACAATAATAAAAATAAAAGATAATGAACGCTATCTCAGCGGAAGAGTGGTTAGAGGATGGGGCGGAGAAGATGTTGTTTTGCGGTTCAGCCGACTGATAAATAGTTAACTATGTTGATCATTTTGTTAATTACGATATTGTTAATAAACATGTAAGTATCTTAAAATTATTTTAACAGCTCAACGACTTTCTCTCCTTTGGATGAACATGTGAATTGGATCGGGATCGATTTGTAGTAAGTAGCAGTTCATAAAGTATTTTAGTTGGGATGGCGTACAGGTGGCACTGCCGCATTTCACACCATTTTTTTGTATACACAAATAAAAATAAAAAGAAAAAACAAAGAACTTAGATACTAATTACATAAAGTTTCTTATTTTTTTTGTTATTGTTTTTGTGTAACTGCAACATTAAACTAATAAATGCTATAAGGGGTGCACATTGCAGTTGTACTTATGCTGCCGTATCTACCTCCTCTACTATATGATTGGGTGAGACCTCGCTGGGCGATGCAGTGGTTGCAGCCGCAGCAGCTGTTGTTGTGTTGTTGCTATTGCTGCTGTGCTTGGTCTTGACTGACGGCAGCGGCGTCGTCACTAGCGCGCTAACAGCGCTATATTGCGGCGTTGCGTCCACAGTTGCCGTTAGAATTCCTGCATTGGCATCGTACGGCGAGCTCTTGAGCTTGCGCGCTTCACGCTTCTGCTTGCGCTGCTGCATAACTAGACGTAGTTGGTCTAGTTTAGACTTGGTCTTTAGATTGGCCAGGTCGGCAACGCACTTTTGGCACATGTGATCCCGTTGGCCATCGTTCAGCCTAACGCCGCCACCGCGATTACGGCACATGCATGCATTCGAGCTGTCCATCGCTGTGGCATTGCTAGCGCTGCCGTTGCTGGATATATCCGCATGGGTACAGCAGCCGTGTGTAGATGACTTGAGACTACTAGCGATTGCAGTAGAAATACCTTCCTTAGCCAAATAGTGGCCATTGCATTCGCCATAAGCACAGTTGCCAGCACTCAAAACTGCTGCTGCCTGTTGCCGTTGGGCGCGAGAGTTACATTTGGCGCAATTGTAATGTTTGGTCGAGTACTGAAACGGAAAGAAAGAAGTTAAATACTCAATTGATTAACATCACAAATACAAGATTCAGATTAATTTCAGGTTGCAATTGTTTTCCCTGCTTGCTTAATATACAATGGAGGGCAAAAGTATTTTGACAACTCATTGAAAAAACTTAATCCGCTTATTATTGTATGCTGAGAGGCGGTACCCATTACATTTAAAAAAAAGAAGCAAATATTAAAAGATTTAAGAGCCCAAAATATTGCATTGATAACATAACTCATTATTTTTCTATAATTATGTGCATGACAGATTTTCAATAATTTTAACATTAATGTTTATTAAATAAAGTGAGAGAAAACTCATCAACTTACTTAACTGATAATAATAATAATATTAATAACAAGTAAGAAAACTCTAGTCGAGAGTGCTCGACTAGATGCTACCCTGAACCAAACTAATAAAAATGCCCATTTGGTATGGCTAAAATTTCAATTTCGATATACTCATACTATTAAAATATAAATATTTTGAAAAAATTAATATCAGCAGCACGCTCTGGAGCTTGAACCCGAGACTTCTCGGGAAGCTGCGCTGGCAAAACTGAAATAGATTCACTGCTGCAGCGCCATCTAGCAAAACTAAATTAAACTAACTGCTGATGTGATTCTCAGAATCTGCTCGAATAACCAAACTAATAAAAACGTACGTAGGTCTACGTTTTTTGAGAAACAATTGGCTTAACAGGTAGCAGAAGGCCATTCAGGCAAGCAAAAGAGAATGCTTCTTAGAGTTGTGCGACTCGGCCGAATATGACCCTTGGGGCAGAGCATTCAAGATAGTAGTTAAAAAAACTATACGCAGGTAAACAGGTGCAGCCTACGGATCGCTTGGAGCTTAAATCGATTGTGGAAACGCTCTTCCCAGAAAGATTAAGCTCCATTCATACCCCTGAGTCCGAGTCTGCTGATCAGGGCTCAACTAGCACTCAAATTGTTTTAGTTACAGACGAAGAAATTTTAGTAGCTCTCAGAGGTCTTAGATCTAATACAGCTCCAAGGCCGGACGGGATACCAAATCGTGCGCTAAAGCTAGCCCTCGCCTTGCACCCTAGTACGTTTGCCGAATTATACAACGAAAGTTTAATTCACGGGACGTTCCCTACAGCCTGGAAAACCCAGAGCTTGGTATTGCTACCCAAGGCTGGCACACCACCAGAGGAGCCATCTTCGTATAGACCAATCTGTCTCTTAGACATCATGGGAAAGGTGTTTGAGAAACTGATTGGCTCTAGACTAGAGACTTCTATTGCTAGCGCCGGAGGCCTGTCACCTAACCAATTTGGTTTTCGGAAGGCCCGGTCAACAGCTGATGCACTAGAAAAAGTTGTTGGCCTGGCAACTTCCGCCATCCAAGGCACCAGATGGAGGTACGGAACGAAGCAATACTGCATCATCGCGACCCTGGATGTAAAGAATGCCTTTAACACAGCTAGTTGTGATATGATACTGGATGCGCTATCACAATATAATATCTAAAAGCGATAATAAAGAGCTACTTCAGAGGAAGAACACTGGTATACATCACGAGTGAGGGTCCCCAAACTCACACAGTGTCAGCTGGCGTACCCCAAGGCTCAGTGCTGGGGCCTCTTCTATGGAATATCATGTACGACGGCGTACTGCGCTTGGAACTACCAGCAGGTGCGCACACCATTGGCTTTGCTGATGATGTAGCTGTCGTAGCCATAGGAAAAGAGCTCAAAGATACAGAGGATATGTGCAGCGAAAGTATCAATCGCATACGAAGCTGGTTGACAGAACTGAAGTTGTCCTAGTCAGCAGTCGCAAGAGTGGAAACTGCCAATATAAAGATCGGCAGCGTCACCATTGCGTCAAAGAGGGCGATAAGATATCTTGGCGTCATGATAGACACAAGATTAACTTTCCGCGAGCACCTAGAATATGTGCATAAAAAGGCAGCTGATTCTTGTAGAGCTCTCTCGAGAATTATGCTTAACACGCGGGGACCTAAACAGCAGCGACGTCTCCTTCTAATGAGCGTCATTAGGTCCGTCATCTTCTATGCTGCGCCAATATGGGCAAGAGCGATGGCAACGCCGAGCTACAGCCGGGGCATTTGCGCGATCTACAGACTGAGCGCAATCAGTCAGCTGCGCTTTCAGGACTATCTCCGACTATCAGGACTATCTCGTCATAGCCGGTATGGTGCCACTGGAGTATTTGGTCGCCGAAGCCGTGGAGCGGAATTCGCACGGGCCTACGCGACTCAACGCTGTCAGGGCGAACAGCATCGCACGATGGCAAAGAAAGTGGTATAGCTCAGCTAAAGGGCGGTGGACACATACTCTCATCAACCGCAAACACGGCGAGGTTAATTTTTATCTTTATAGAGCGGACAACATGGTCAACGTTATGCTGGAATCGGATGCAGCTTGAAAACTTATAAGCATCTTCGCGGCCACAATTATGATGGAGCTTCGCAGAATCGAGCAAAGACGAGCTGTGCCAGGCTAAGGGAGTGTAAAGTGCTTGCGAAGCAATGCTTTACGGCCGTCCCGCAAGCATCGTGCGCTACCCTTAGCCACCTAAACACATAATGTATAATATAAGTAAAGTTGTTAATAAACGAATATAAACAAGTAAGAAGGCTCCAGTCGAGACTGCTCGACTAGGAGATACCCTGAACCCTCTAAGCTGATATTCTACTCATTCTCCACTTCTTTTATGCACACATACATACACATGCATCCACACGCACGCATAAGCCTGCGCTCTGCTAACTGCGCAGTAAGCGGCGACTGCGCAGTGTGGGCAATATTATGAGAATTTATTTGTTGAATAATTTCTTTTGTAGACACACAATCTTAATGAAACTTTCAGAGCATAATCATATGGCTAAAATGTGTGTAAATTTCAAAGCACAAGTCTGTAGTACTTGAAATACGTTTCTTACAAATTGGGGGCGAAGGAGGCGTGGTATCCAAAATCTGTAAATTACAAAATCTTTATATCCATTAACTTTATATACAACGCAAATTTGACGACTCCAGGTCTGAAAGTGTTCAAATTAGACTGAAAAAACAAAATCAATTTTTCGATTATTCTCGATAAAAAAGTCATCGAATGAGTTATCGAAAAAATAAAGCAAACTCGTACTGCGTATGGTATACACGAGTATGCATGCCAAATTTCAGCTCTCTAGCTCTTATAAGCTCTTATCAGCTCGTCGTGCTGATCAAGAATATATGTACTTTATGGGGTCTACGATGATTCCTTCTGCCCGTTACATACTTTTTCACTAAACCATTATACCCTGATTTCCCATTTTCAATGGGTTCAGGGTATAAAAACAACACACACACACACGCACACAAGCACCCACGATATTTAAAGCAAAACTCGATATCCGCGTGGTATACACGGACATTTTACAAAAAAAATTGAGGTCTCTAGCTCTTGTATCTTCTGAAATCGACGCGTTCAAACATACTGACAGACGGACATACGGTCGGACGGGCAGACACAAAGGCGGACAGGGCTAAATCAACTCAGCTCGTCGCCCTGATCATGAATATATACACTTTATGGGGTCTGCCACGCCTCCTTCTGCCTGTTATATACATTTCAACAAAACCTGATTTCCCATTTTCAATGGGTTCAGGGTATAAAAAATAACATTTTTTACTTAATTAACATCAAGCACCTTCTGTAAGCGTCTAGCGATTGATCTAACCAAATTTTGTAATGTTTCTAATGAAACATTCTGCCAAAGTCCTCAACCCTCAGCAATCAGTCTCCTTGGTCGTTCTTGATAAGTCTAAGCTACGGTTTACTTTTGCGTAAGCCTACACATTCTCTATAATATTAAGATCAGGGCGCTGAGGTGGCCAATCTAGTGTATATTCAATATCCCTCTAAAATGCAGCTATAATATGGGCCTTGTGGCATGGAGCATTATCCTGCTGCAGTACAAATGATTTTGTCCTTCATCGTTAATTTATCAAATAGGAGAGCCTATTGACCCATACAAAACCCCAGAGCATTACCGATTCTTCACCATGTGTCACACTTTCGTACGAATATTCTTTGGCAACCTGCTATAAATCGCTTTTTGTATCCGTGATACTCAAAAGGACTATCGTCAATCCATAATACTTGTCGTTAGAATAATTGCTGGCCCTGTCCGTCTGTCTGTCCGTCCGTCTTTCCGTATGTATGAACGCGTCGAACTCAGAAGATATAAGAGCTAGAGACTTCAAATTTTTTAAATGTCCGTATATATAGCGCGGATATCGAGTTTATCTCCAAAAATTGATAGCTCATCACGTTGTTTTGTTATCGATTAAAAACATTATCGAAAACCAGTAATAAATTTATATCTGCTACATCTTTAAAGCTAGAGTCACCAAATTTTTAATGTAGATTATATGTACTTTATAAAATTTCGATTTTTGTCAAAATTTACCCCCCACCACTAATTCACCCCCTCACCATCAAATTTGTAAAAGGCGTATTTTAAATATTAGAGACTTGTGCTTCGGCAAATACGTGCATGCCTATGTTATATAACAGATAAGATAGTCCATCCACAAAAAAACTTATTAAACAATTAAGTTTCCATAGTAAGCCACTACTGCAGCCAATGCGTGTTTATGCGTGCGTGGGTATGCCTGTGATTGCGCATGTAGAAATAATTATTGAAATATCAGTTGCTCGCAGGGTTTAGGGGATCTCGAAGTCGAGCAATCTCGACTAGAGCTTTCTTACTTGTTTTGAATAATCTTCCCGATCTGGACTTTATTTTGAGTGAATCAGTTTTTCTTTTGTTAATTCAAAAGTAAATTCCTCATAGAGGTACATTTTATAAGCTTGTAACGTATTCCACGGAAATACCTGCATTATTCTTCGAGATCGATTGATTTTTTAAAGATTTCATCTTATCATATGGGTTGCTTAGAATTTATCAAAAACTATGATCAAATAATTACTATTAATTACGAGGATACGAAAAATAACTTATACAATTATAATACGTATTTTTTTTTTTTTTTTTTTTTTTTACCTTGAACCCATTGAAAATGGGAAATCAGGGTATATTGGTTTTGTTAAAAGTATGTAACAGGCAGAAAGAGGTGTGGCAGACCCCACAAAGTATATATATTCTTGATCAGGGCTGAGTCGATTTGGCCCTGTCCGTCTCTCTGTCTGTCCGTCCGTCTGTCCGTCCGTCCGTCTGTCTCTCTGTCCGTACTCTCGATATTTTATTATCGATTAAAAACCTTATCGAAAGCTAGTTATTTAATTATATCTCCTACACCTTGAGAGCTAGAGCTGTTAAAATTTACCCCCCACTCCTATTTCCACCCCCTCACCATCACCTTTGTAAAAAGCGTATTTCAAATACTAGAGACTTGCGCTTTAGAATGTACATACATTTGAACATTATGATTATGTTCTAAAAGTTTCATTAAGATTGTACGTCTGTAAATTAAATTATTTAACAAATAAATTCTTATAATGTTGCCCACACTGCAGCGCAGCCGCTGCTTACTGCGCAGTTAGCAGAGCGCGTCCTAATACGTGCGTGTGTATGTATGTGTGTCGAAAAGAAGTGCTGACTGATTAGAATATCAAATTAGAGGGTTTAGGGTATCTCCTAGTCGAGCAGTCTCGCCTAGAGTCTTCTTACTTGTTTATATTTATGCCGCTTTTACAATTTCAGCGTCATTTCTAAAAATGTATATAATTTATTGCTTACCGATTTGCTACGCACGTTATGATGTAGTGCGACGGGCACTGATGTTGGTGCTGCAGTTTTGGCCGCGCCGGCGTTGCCACAAGAAGTATTAATGGAGCTGGAAATTGACGAACCGTTGTTGCTGCTGCTGCTAATGCTGGAGTTGCTCTTCATGCTGGTGTTGCTACTGGATGGTGCCTCAAAACTGATACGCGCGCCACGACTGTATTGGGGCGTGGCACTTAACAGATCGTTAAGTATATGTATTACCGTTGATATGTCGCGCTTTGGCCGGCCAAAGCGATCCTGCAGCGCCGGATTTAAAGTGCCTGAGAATGTGCCAGAGTAGATGCCCTTGCCGTGATTCTTCATCGATTCAATGACAGCGCCGGAGCCACTTTTGCGTGGTGTTTCTTCACCGCCCCCAATGTCGGCGCCAACACCCATGTTTCCACCGCCAGACAAGTCAATCTTATTAGTGAAAACCTCTTTCGAGAGCTTCCTCAAAGTCTGGGTCAGATTACGCGATGCCTCGGCTAGAGTTCGGGTATCCGATAATGTCAAGCCGGCATCGTCTAACTCAGCGGTGCTACTAGTGCGGGTGGTCCCAGCCGCAGCTGCAGTTGGGGTTCCACTTTTCGCGAGATTTGCCTCTTGAGACTTGAGCCTTGCGGCTGCCGCAACTGCGGCATGATGATAATGGTGATGATGATGGTGGTGGTGATGGTGGTGTCTATGCTTGGAGCGTGTAACGGTAATCGGATTATTAACCGTCTTATGTAACAAATTGTCCCCAACACAGCCGGACCCGGAGTTGGAGACAGTACCAGAACAAATAGATGCACGACTGAAATCTCCAATATTGAGATTGGGTAAAGCTCTTGAAGCAGCTGTTGTTGGTGGTGGTGTCGATGTTGGTGGTGATGGTGGCGGTGGTGCTGGTGTTGTTGTTGTTGTTGTGGTTGTTGTTGGTGGTAGAGGCGGTGGTGTTGAAGCTGCTGTAGATTTTGTATCTTCAGATGCTGCTGATGCTGTTGCCAGGCGTGTGCACAAGCACGAGGTGAGCTTTGCGGATATCGGATCCTGCTGGCAGCCACCGCTAGTACAACTGGTTGGCGATGCACGGCCAACAATACTGGGAGGTAAGTAGCTGGTACTGTTAGAGCCATGGGCAATGTGTATGTTCTTGATGGCTGTCGTTTTGATGGGAGACGAAACGAGATTGGAGAGCGACTTGATTGGAGATTGCTCCAATAACGGCTTTGATTGTGCCGTTGATGGTTGCCTGGACGTCTGGTTAGTTACAGCGGCAGCGGCCGCAGCTGCAGCCCGTGGTGCTATACTCTTCACAATATTATGCAGACTCTCGTAGTCGCGCTTGCTAAGGAACGAGCTGAGATCGGAAGTCTTAATGGCATGGTGTCCGCGACCATTTCCGGCCGTAGTACCAGCTATTAGGCTACCTCCGGCAGCAGCACTCAACCTGCTGCTACTGTTGTCGCTGTCACTGCTGATGGTAGTGGTTTCGGTGGTGGTGCTCCTTCTGCTTTTGTTGTTACCCGAGCGCTCCAGATCGAGCTTTCGTAGGTGTGTGCCAGCGCTACCGGCGGCCATCGCCGTGGCATTGTGATGGTGATGATGATAATGGTGGTGATGGCTATGGGTGTGCTGCAGACTCGGATGCTGATGGCTGTGCACATGGCCGTTGCTAATGCGTCCGCTGGCCAGTCGATGGCTGGAGGAACGGGTGCGCGCATGCGACACATGGGAGCCAACGCTGCTGCTTGGATAAACGCAGCCCAGGGCTCCGCTTGATGCTGAATGGGAAGAGCTAGTACTGCCACTACAGCGCCCAACAGAGCTATTACCGCTCATCACAGGTGGCAGGGCAGCCGTTGAGGCAGTAGTGCCGCCAGCAGGATTAACAGTACTCAGTTGCAACTGAATAAGCATCATGTGATCGCCCAGACGCATACTAAGATTGAGTGGAGTCTTGCCACTGAGAAAATCATTCACCTGCGAGTCGTTAAGGGATTCCAGCGCTTGCATAACTGTATTCTCCGGACGCTGTGCCTAAAGAAACGAGAAAAAAATTATTTTAAATTAATATATTTAATAATTTATAGATATGAATTATATACAAGTAAGAAGACTCCAGTCGAGACTGCTCGACTAGGAGAACCCTGAACCCTCCAAGCTGATATTGTGCTCATTCCGCACTTCTTTCATGCACACATGCATACACACACAGGAAATTTGATGTAGTACGTGATTCAATGCAACGTCTTTGTGTTGAAATTACATCACATACAATATTTATCTTGGTAAGACATATACATGCACACAAATATTCTCATATAAAAATATATAATTTATGTAGAACAGCGAAGAGATAGAGCTCGAGCTGACCAAAAGTATTCGAGCAAATGCAACGCATTCAATGCAACTCACTCTTAACGCCATAACCGCTTAGCTATGAACGCTTCCAATGAACACGGATCTTTTAAATTCCATATAATGTGATTCTCAAGAGAGCCTCATAAAAACTATCTTGCACTTCATACTAGGGTTGTCGAATATTTTTAAAATATCGTATGGATGATATTTTAAGTTTTGTAAAAGTATAAATATGATACTTGATATTCAACTTTAAAAATGTCGATACATAGATGTTTTTATAACTTTTCCCCCACAATAATTTTATAATCCGTCCCAAAAAACAAGAATAATAAGTGTCCAGCATTCGGTACTCAAAACTATTATGCTTTTTAAACCCTGAACCCATTGAAAATGGGAAATCAGGGTATAATGGTTTTCTTGAAATGTATGTAACAGGCAGAAAGAGGCATGCCAGACCCCATATATATTATTGATCAGGGTAACGAGCTGAATCGATTTGGCCCTAACCGTCCGTCTTTCCGTTTGTGCGTATGTATGAAGGCGTCGATCTCAGAAGATATAAGAGCTAGAGACTTGAAATTTTTTTCCTAGGTCCGCGTATATCACGCGCATATCAAGTTTTTCTCTAAATATCGATAAATACTCTCGATACTTTATTATCGATTAAAAACCGTATCGAAAGCTAGTTATTTAATTATATCTCCTACACCTTGAGAGCTAGAGCTTCCAAATTTTAAATGTAGACTTATATATATTTTATACAATTTCTTATATTATAAGAGCAAGAGACTTCGATTTTTTTTAGATGTTCGTATATATAGCCCACATATCTACACACAGTCTATCACAAAAAATCGGTAGCTCATCTTGTTATTTGTTATCGATAAAAACCCTTATTGTGCTTTGGCAAATGCAATCATATCCATGTTATAATCATAATCTGAAAGTATCATGAAGAAAGTACATCCAAAAGAAAAGAAATTAGACAATTAGGTTCTCATAGTAAGCGCACACTGCAGCCCACGCGTGCTTAGGCGTGGATGCTTGTGTATGTGTATGTGTGTGTGTGTGTGCGTGTTTGTGTGTGTGTGTGTGTGCGTGTGTCTTGTGTAAGCAAAAAGACGCGAAAAATGATTGAAATAGCTATTGCTCGAAGGGTTCAGGGGATCTCGAAGTCGAGCAGTCTCGACTAGAGCTTTCTTACTTGTTTTAGCCTGTTTTTTATACCCTGAACCCATTTTCAATGGGAAATCAGGGTATAATGGTATTGTTGAAATGTATGTAACAGGCAGAAAACCAGTTATAAAATTATATCTTCTATACCTTTATTGCTAGAGTCTCCAAATTTTTAATGTATGCAATTTACACAATTTCGGTTTTTGTTAAAATTTACCCTCCACCCCTATATTCACCCCCTCACCCACACTTTTGTAAAAGACGTATTTCAAATACTAGAGACTTGTGCTTTTGCAAATACATGCATATCTACGTTATAATCATAATCTGAAAGTTTCATGAAGATCGTATATCCACAAAAAAAGTTATTAAACAATTAAGTTCTCATAGTAAGCGCACATTGCCGCCCATGCGTGTTTATGCTTGTGTGTGCAATCAAATTACCGAAAATGAATTTGAAAGGGTATGTCAAAATACTTTTGTCCACCCAAACAATGATAATCCGCCATGCAAATAATTATAGAAAAATAATGAGTTATGTCATCACTGCAATATTTTGGTCACTTAAAGCCTAGTATGCTTGCTCTCTAATGGGTACCGTTAGCTCTCTCAGCACGCAGAAATAAGCGGTTAAAGTTTTTGCAATGCGTTGTCAAAATACTTTTGTCCTCCATTGTATATATGCTAGGCTCTATGCTGATGCCGAGATTATCCATATGATTCAAAATGGTTGTTTATTGTTTCATCTGACCATATTAACAGTTTCAAGTCATATGGACAATTTTAACATTGGCTTAAGGCTCCCACAGTCCAGTCTGTTGACTGTAACAGAACAGTAAGGCAAACTCTCAATCGCGGTGGCTGCTGTCTTTTGGTTTAGCGGAGAATAAACAAAGATTGTCCTGAACTCTTGGTTTTAATCGATGAAATAACGTTTCATGAGCAATACCTGATCACTTTACAAAAGAATTTGGGAGAATCAAGTGAACATATGGGTTTTACTACTGAAAAATGCAGAACAATGACTCATACAACACGTCTAATTTGGTCAAAAAGTGGATAATATGGCAAGGATTCAAGTCCATGAAGTGTCCTGAATATTCTTCAGACATGAATATCATTGAAAATATAAAAAGTCATGTGAAATCGCAGCTTGCAAATTATGGGTGGCTCCAAGTGGAATGAAAGAGCTGTGGGAGAGGAACAAGGACATTTGGTGCGCGATTCTTCCTGAAATGATGCGAGGGTACACAAAATGGATGGCAAATGACATTAATGAACTAAAAGAATCAAAATGGCCATGTATTCATTATTAAACAAGTAAGAAAGCTCTAGTCGAGAGTGCCCGACTACAAGATCCCCTGAACCCTTCGAGCAATAGCTGTTTCAATCATTTTTCGCGTCTTTCTGCTTACACAAGACACACACACACTTACAGGCATATACACACACATCATACACACACACACACACGCACACACACAGAGATACGCACGCACGCATAAACACGCATTGGCTGCAGTGGTGGCTTACTAAAAGAACTTAATTTTTCAATAACTTTTCTTGTGGATGTAGTTTCTTCATTAAACTAGATTAGATTATGATTATATCATATATATGTATGTATTTGCCAAAGCACAAGTCTCTAGTATTTGAAATACGCCTTTTACAAATGTGAGGGTGAGGGGGTGAATTAGGGTTGGCGGGTAAATTTTGACAAACACCGAAATTGTATAAAATGCATATAAGTATACATAAAAAATTTGGAGACACTCGCTTAAAAGATGTAGGAGATATATATATATATATTATATTTTTACTGGTTATATATATATATTACTAGTTGTCCCGGCGAACTTCGTACCGCCTAACAGTCCCTATATATATAAAACAAAGTAGAGTTTGTTACAAAACTTATAATTCGAGATCTGCTGCACCAATTTTCATGGTTTTTGATTT